TTCCCTGATGAGGATGTGAGTGAAGGTATTACAAGGGGACAGCTACTCCCCCAGACTCACAAGTGTGTCAGCATGCAAATACAGAGGAGGGAAGCAGCTCTCTGCTAGATGTGTGGGGCAGGGGACTGGAAAAAAGACAAGCTGGAGGGGCAACCACACTCCTCCTGCTACTAGAGAAGAAAAAAAAAGAAAATCCAGCTAACTCAAAATCAGATGCTAACAAGTATGACTTCAGACAGCTGTGCAGCCTCGCGTCAATGGGTACAAGAGAGAGATAGAACCAGCTCTCACTGCAGACAGCACAGACACTAGATGCTTTTCACTGAAATTAACGGTGTTTACAAAGAAAATAAAATCCATGTACACCAGCAACAGATTTCCTAACCTGATGATTTTCAGCTTTGGTTCTCAAGTTTCCTTCTCAACCCCCTGAGGTGACCACCAAATACGTGCTGCCAGCGGTTTAAGGTCTCAGTACAGGGATCTGCATCTTTACTAGGAAAGTGAAAGGTGGGCAAATTAAAACTGAAGTTCAGTTATAACTTTTTTCATCGTTGTCATCATAATTATAGTAAAATTTCAGCACATGCAGATAATTACCGTAACACTGATAAAGCGATGAATAGACCTGCACAATGATGTAGTTTAAAAATCATGAAGTAACATTTAGATACAGTTTTAACTCGGCTACTCCAACACATAGATACATAGGCAGCCCTTAATTACACTGTACTTCAAATGACACAGTTCCACTTAAAACTAACGGTATTTTAAGACTCATTCACATGGCCAGATGAAAAGCTTTTTCAGAGTAAACTGATCGGTGGCAACCACTCCAGGACAGTTCCCCACACATTCCCAAGGGCAAGGCTGGAACACACAGGTTATTATTTTGGAGCAAAGAGGACCTGCAGATGGAAAAAAAGTGAAACCACAGCAACTCCAGGAGGAGAGTCTATGGTCTACTGTTTTGATGTTATAAATTAGATGTTATTTGTCCTTTTCTCTCTCACACTAGACAATTACTATAAGACGATGACCTTCACCTTTTTTAAAACAGCACTAGCAATGTGTGTACCTACAATGCTCCCTGCATACGATGAGGAACCACAGAATCACGGAATTATTGAGGCTGGAAAAGACCTCTGTGATCATCAAGTCCAGCTTATGTCCCAACACCACCACATGGGCCAGACCAGGGCACTAAGTGCCACATCCAGCCTCTCCTTAAACACCTCCAGGGATGGTGACTCCATCACTTCCCTGGGCAGTGCATCCCAGTGCCTGATCACCCTCTCTGCGAGGAATTGCTTCCCGATATCCAACCTAAACCTCCCCTGACGCAGTTTCAGGCCATATGTGGGGCCTTTGCACCAGAGCACAGAACCCTCCGGTTCAAGCTGCTTTACTCGCCCTGCGCTCTTGCAGGAGGAGGTGACTTAGACCCTGCCCCAAGAGCACTCCCCCACCTAATAGCACTGAAGCAGCAAGCGCACTGTGCCTGAACTTCCCCTTGAACACACCGAAGGAGCTTCTCGGAAAGCTGGCGGAGCAGAATATCACGTCCAGGAGCAGAGCAGAGTTCTGCTGTCTCCTCCACGCTGGCACTGCAGCACCAGATACAACAGAGGACAAATAAAAGTCTCCAGTCAGACAAGCTTGCTGCTTCTGGCACGGAGAACACTGAGGGTGCGACGGGGGGAGATGAAAGCTGGGGCACAATTCTGCATGGCTTGTGTTCAGTGTCTCCACTGGCCCCAGAAGACCTCCTTTCCTTGCAGGGAAAAAAGGTTTTCCTTTGTTGCTCATCCTCTGCAAGGAAAACTTATTCATGTCTTCATATTTTCTAAAGATTACAAAATAGTATTGCCCAGCTTCTTCAAAACTGTTATGAATATGGTCAGTCCCCTTTCACTTAATCACTCAATCACAAGCCTACATTTTAGGGAAACGGTGCCAGTGGAAAGTGGCTGTTTTCAGACTGAGCCCCAAGCTGTGGTTATTTCCAGCAGAACTCCAAAATACCATACCACCACCCACTTCGAAATGGCCTCTGGCTCTGAAGATTTAGGTAATTCCATTACACAAACGCCCCTTTTCAACAAAGCAGAGAAGCCTGTTGCCCTTCTGTATCCCCTTGCCCGTGGCAACTGCTTACCACCTCTTTTCAAGTGTGCTATTAGAGCTAATTATGAACAATCAGAGAAGTCGATGGCTGCTGCTTTTCCACGAGATTAGCAAACCGCCCTTGGGAACTGCAGTACCACTGTTTAAAACAAAAAGCGCAGGCGCTGTCCAGGACTGTGTGATTATTGCCAGAATTAAAGCAGTTTTGAGCATGTTACAGGAACAAGCAGAGCCAGGCAACCTCTCCTGCTCCCATGCTGTCTGTCCACAAAGAGACTCTTGCAGAGCCTCTGATCCAGAGACTGCAAGCACTTGGACAACAGGTAGGGCAAAGATATCTAAAGGCACACCTACAGGCACAAGGTATGACTTGCTCCAGGTCACCCAGTAAAGCACCAGTGTCACTGCCTAGGACAGCTAAATCCTTTAGCGTACTCCAAGAGAGCCAAAATGGAAGAACATTTATTAAAAAAGGTAATGGAAGAGAGCATAAATCTGTCGTGCTGCTTGACTAACTTTTTAGAAGTGTATTAAAACTCAGGCAATTTTTTAAAAAAAAAAAAAAAGTCTAAACCATTTCTCTCCTTCTCTACCTGCTCATAATTCTCATAATTTCTCATTTATCTCTTACGCTGCCTGCATGCAGGTACCACTGGAAAACTCAACCTGAGAGAAAACCCCCTGAAGACCTGAGTAGCGGCTGGAAAGGGCAGAGGCTGGCTGCACGCTGGGCTCTGGCAGAAGCTCCAAAATAACGGCACCACTGATTCAAGTTGCCAGAGATTCCCTTACACTTAACCCACTATTCTTTATAGCCGACACATTAACTGATGGCGCACTTGGTAATGTATAAAAGCAGGTGCTGTGGTGTTTATGGCCTATTAGGAAGGCAGGGTTTCTCTCTCAACCTTTTTCTTCTGGTTGCTCTTAAAATTCCTCCCGCTCTTGCTCTGGATGTTAACTCTTTCAGGGTAAAGGTCAAAAAAAAAAAAAAAAGAGAAATAAACATTAGGTCACAAAGTCTTGAAATGTTATTGCAATTTATATATGGCTGAGAATAAAAATGTGTCTGATTTCTCTGAGTACACACTTACGTGTGAATAGAGACCTTTATAAAAAAATCCTCCTTTATTGCCTTGGTGGGGGAAAAAAAATAATCAAAGATTGATTTTCTTTTTATGGCTATTATTAACCTTTTGTTACTAGCCAAAAATAATCTGGTTTGAAAACGTGCAATACATGAAAAAAGAAAAAAAGAGAGAAGAATTTAACAGAAAATTAATGCTCAGGGGACAAATAAGACGCCTCTCCCTTCAGCCTTTTTTCTTCTTAAAGTCAGACTTTACCTCCAAAGAAATGAGAAAAGCATTAAAAAGAGGAGTCTGAGTTTTCAGACTGCTGCAGCCGAACAGTGCCCCAGGCAGAACCATCGCCCAGGCTGCCAGGGCAAAGGGGACAGGCAGGGGTTTGCTCCGACTCCTCCCTGAATTTAAGGCCAAAGCTGTTCCCGTGGATGCATCCGACCCATCGCTCGCCAGCTCTGACGGAGAGGAGATGATCTAGCTCTACAGTGGGGCTGTGGTCTGTAGTGGTTGCGCTGCTCCCCTCTTCTCCCTCAGGAGAAACTATAAAATGCATCGCAACTGAAACTGCCAAGGTCTAAGCATGAAGAAGCATCTCTCACCAGCTACTGCAGAGCCACGCTTCCTCACACCCACCCAACCTGCAAGAACAGCTTTTTCACAACGGTTTCACGTGTGCGTAAATACCAGCACAGTTACTTGTAGCCCGAGAACACTACAGGGCTGCTGACAAGCCTTCAGATTGCAACCTCGCTTAAGGTCCACCTCTCACAAATTCCTGAGGCATTTTTCGCAAAGCTGCTTAACAACTCACTAGTAAGAGCTAGCAAATTTGTCAGCAAAGGTGTATCTATGTCCAAATCAGGCAGAAGAGTAAAGCCAGTAAGCGCCAGGCTAGTAAAGAAAAGTCAATCGTAATTTGACAGAAATACGTTGGACGATTATTTCCAAACACGATCGCACTTTCACAGGTCAGCCCTGACAAAACTACGGGCATTGACTCATGAGCACAGGCAGATTCAAGCGGGCTGGAACGAACCACTTGCAAAGCAGTTGCGGAACCAGCCCAGTTCACAGCCTGGTCCATTAAGGCACCCTAAAACTGCTTCTAGTTAAGTTCAGACACGTGGCCTACAAACCACAGCGGTTAAACAGCTGCTTTATGTTCAGTTACGTCAAACCGTGCTAGAAATGAGACCCCCAAGCAGGGGAGGTGGGGATGTGGGGATGGAAACGGCACAAGCTGTTCGACTTTGTCCTCAGTCAGCACTGACACCCTCCTGGAGACGTCTTGTGCCCACCACGCCGGGACCCACAGCACCACCTACCCCTGAGGAGCGCTCTGCTGAAACCAGGTGTTTGTCTGATGCTTTTCTGCTCAAGTGGGATTCTGTTTCCCACTAGTACACAAAGTTCTGGGAGCATACTGTTACAAAAACCCCCAACACTGGAGAATGCACTTTATGTAGGCAGCTACCAAGCACCTCGTACGCAGGAAAACCCTCTTGCCATCAGCACCACGAGTCCTCACACTGGAAGCCACAGCCAGGTGATCAAAACTTTACTGTAAGGAGATGTTTCAGCAGCAACTGAAAAAGGCCACTTACAACCATGTACTTCAACCAAATTCTGGTATTTTTCCAAGGTTACCTTTCCGGATGTTCTTCTCTGTGATAAGTGCCCTGAGAGAACTTGCTATGGAGCTTCAGAAGAATCCAGTATCACACAAAACATTCGGTCAGGATGCTACGTCACACATCAATCAAATTCAACTTTTTATTCTTTTCTTACCTGGCTGTTAACATCAGCAGCGTGTTGCAACAGTACTGAAACCAGCTCCTTGTGTCCTCTGTCACAAGCCCAGTGGAGCAGAGCCCGGCCCTGCAAACATCCAGGAGAAAATTAACAAAGCTAAAAAAAAACCACAGAGAATCACAGTCTTGCTGTCGAGTATTGAGTATCAATAACAAAATTAACACAGCCTTTTTGAAAAAACTACAGTAATACTAGCACGTAACATATGATTGCTCCTGATTTAACCTTACAGAGCAATGCTAGGAATATTAAAAGCGACACCATTTAATTTTTCATTAATTTAGCACCAAACCCACAAGCCAGCAAAAAATTCAGAGGAGAAAAGCATCAAACCATGAAAGCAGAAGCCACAACACGATTTGTTTCCTTACATAGATTTGGAATTTGGACACCTCTGACTCTTCCGGAAGCAACGACTTACATGGCAAGGGTAATATTTTTTCCATGCTGCCTGTCACCCGCATGCTGAGTCCCCAAAAGCTCATTCCTCTAGCAAGTCCGAAACACTCAGCCCCTGCCTCTGCCATGAAAGAAGATTAAAACTGGGTGTCTGGCCAGGCATCGCCCACGACTGTCTCCCTCTCAGCTCTGCAACACGGGCTGCTGAATCCACACCTTCAGCCCTTCCCAAACCTCCACAGTTTTCTTCCCATCCCTTTTCTACAAGTTTCTGCACATCTCAAGTCTCTCTGCACGTCTGCCACCATGGGAGGGGGGTCAGCTCTTCAAGAACTTTGGGATGGAAGGTTTTCTTCTTTGTTTACTATGCACACTTAGTAAATTAATTTTACTGTTAGCATCAGCTTTTCCTGATTTAGGATGGCATGTGGCACACGTGCAGGGGATTCCCTGGAAATCACCCTACAGATACCCAAGAAACCATCCCCCAAGCTGTGACACCATCAGACTGACCTGCATTTTCCAGCACGCTACATCAAACAGTCGTGGACCTTCGCAGACGAAATCAGTTAAATTAGCCCACCCCTGGTGATAAATCTCTTGACTGAGCCGGGAGGAACAAGGTGAGCAACTCATTTATCTGCTCATGGGAACTGTGAGCCAAATTTCCCCAGCTGCAGTGCCAAAACAGCAGGAGGGGCAGAAGACACCTGCAACCGAAGCTGATGCTGCTTCTGCTGGATATTCTTGGGCAGGGCAGCTGAGGTGGAACACGATTTTGAGTAAGGAAATGTGATCTCAGGCACAAGGCATTAAGGTTTTTGACACACTTTTTGACCCAGCAAGTAACTAATTTTGGTAACACGTAATTTTAATGTTACACTAATTAACCTTGAATTAGAATGAATTTTCTGACAATGACTTTCTGTGGAAGCACTGAACATCCACAGGCCATTTAATGATTAATGTTCTTGCACTCAGCACCACTATCAAAATCAAAAAGGAGCAAGAGTACAATTTAAAACAGTTGGTAAACATGGAAAGATCGTTAATTCACATTTACATCATTAAGCCATCTCTGAACTGGTAATTACTTAAGAGTTAAGATTTCAGTTAGAAAAATACCAACTTTTTGTGCCACTTAGGTATTTGAAAAGAAAGAGGCACTATCTGCAATATGTACAATAGCAATAAATAAACAGATTACTTCAGTTTCTTTACATATGTGTAATTATACAATGTAATTACTATGCTATTGCACAACATAATAAAGACCTTTATATCAAAATTCATATTAGAAATTAGTGGCTATAGTATAGCAGGTTGCATTTGTCTCTGGACAAGCAGAACCTCATTCTATTGGTGCTGAACTCGGCTGAGACCAGTAAAGGAAAACCAACAGTTTGGGAGGGACAGCGCTGCCAGATCTGCCAGCTCAGGGGTACTGCAGCGCTGGGCAACAAGAAACTCAAGCCTGATCATCTACAGTCATCAAAAATCTCCTTGTGCTACTTGCAGGAGTATGGATTTCAAGTCCTGGGCCAATTCCACTTTGGGTAATTACATTCTGCTTACCTATATATTTTCTCCGCAATTCTAAGTGAATACAGTATTTTCCAATTAGTGCCTTAAGTGTCTCCGCGTTGGAATTGCGCACCATTAAAAAGCGGACACGTTCCACACAAGAGATGCCCACATCCTTGCAGCATGCTATGCCCTAAACACTGAGCGGAAGGCACTTTGAAGACCTCCTGTGCAAAACCACGCCATTTGGTGTGGAAGTAAAAACACCTGCAGGAGAATCTCAACCTTCTTGCTGTGTAACAAAATGCATTACTAAGACATTTTTATTTAAAACAAGGTAACGCTTGCTACTGTTTGCACGTAATCGAGCAAATGAAAATGCTCTGGAGTTCTAGCTATACAGCTACAGAGTCCACTTGTTTCCCATGTCTTCCTTAAAACAAACCTTAGCAAAAAGACAGACGTAAATGGAACGTACAAGACACCGGTATCACCTACGCACATTGAAAAATCCTTCAGTCTCCACAGTTGCTACTTTATATGAGCATGTAACATGTGTTTGTGTGTTTAAATAACACGGCAGAAATCTTAAAGAGCCACAGATTGAGCTTCCCCAAAGCACCTCCCATACGACTATTTCATTAAGCAGGGAGAGACTCAAAGCAACACAAATAATTTTGTATGGGAAAGCACTGCAGTTGTGAGGTCTTGACTAAGTGCCACAAAACATCAAGGTACTCCCTCCGAGCAATTCAAACACACAGCAGTCGCTGCAGAAGTTACTTGCGAGGATGCATTTTCCCCTGCCTTTGAAATATTTAATAATAAAAAAAAAAAAGGCGCATAAAAATAGCCCCAGTGCAGTAACCCTGCCTCTTAAATCTTCTGTGCTTTGCTTGGATAATCGCTGCCAGCTTGGCCAGCTTCTGCAGCAGTTTCTCAAGCCAACAGCACATCAATTTTGCTCAGCTCCAAGTCACAGGGTGTTCACAAACAAAGCACAGGACAGGGATTTGTCTCAGATATACCAAGTCTCAGCAGGCAAAGGGACGGGAATGATTTTCACATCAATTAGCCAGCGCAGAGAAATGGAAGAACAAAGCCAAACGGAATGGATGCGCCACAATATTAAGCTGTGCTTCTAGGGACGACGTTTGCAGCTGGAACGGCTGTAGAGCAGTGAGAGCCCCTCTAACTCGTGGCAAGTGCTTTATTACTGGTAATTAAGAAGAGAGAGCCATGGGACGGCTACAGCCCCCTGTGATGGCAAAAACGGCGAATGGAACGGCCGCTGTTGCAAATATGCAGGTAAACTTCAGATTGGATTTGGAAGCCAATCACTCTGAGCTCTGAAACACTCGGGAATGTTTTTTCTAATGGGAGTAAGCCTGTAAATCCAAAAGCACGTGATCCTTCTCCAAACCAGTTTTTCCCCCCCTGCCCTTTCCTTGGCAAGCTGGCACCAATTTGGCACTTGCTGTCTCAAAAGCACAAGGATCGGGGACTAAGCAAGCATCCTTCCAGATTTCTTTCATTAAAGTTTTGGCAAGGGCTTCAATACTGCACACAGGTAACAGAGCTGTTTACTAGGGTTTCTCCAACAATTAAAAAAATATTCTCTATCCACAACCTCCACAGCCCTTGGCACAAATTACAGAAGCAACTAATCTACGCCTTTGAGCCGTTTCTGGTTTGTTTAAAAGTTGAAGAAGCACAGTTCTCAGCGAGGCAGCAAGCAATCCACGCTATCAGGATGTGCCTGTGGCGGCTTCACAGCCACAGTCCATTTCTTATTTCATTAGTCCCGCTGACATACCTAAGAGAAACGGGTTGTTTTAGACTATGCTACTTCTAAGTGAATGCAAGCTAGCCTGTTGAACTCTGGGCAATTTAGATGGAGTAAATGGAAGCTTCTACATGATTACTGTCGTTAGATTCTTTGTTTAATCCTAAATTGATGTTTATTACATCCAAACTGTTAGCAGGTATGCTGGCTTGAATGCTGTACATGAAGATCTTTCTTTCTTGGGGGAGAAGACCACTTATGCTTTGAAAGTTGCCAAGTTAATCCATCTAAACCCCAGAGACTTCTACTGCCCTCTCTGAAATCCTTTTGCTTTGGGTAAGTTGGCTCGTCCTCGCTTTACATTTTTATTCTTGATTTCTTTCCTCTTTTCTGGTTTGCACAAAACGAGGGGAGACAATTAGATACAGTACTAAGGCATCACATGGAAATAAAATCTAAACACCTCACAGCCTCAGCCAAGTCTTTATTATACAAGGAAAGGCTGAGCCGAGCATCTCTGCAGTTTAGCACGAGACTATTTGGTGCTTTGGTAGATTTTTGTTTCATAACAAGTTAACTCTTTGTGTGTATCCCTGCTGCCATTTTAAATTTATAGGCGTTTAAATCAAAGGATTGACAGCATGAGTTATGTTCAGAGGGCCAGGAGAGGCAGCTTTTGGATGCGGCAGGACGTATTTATACAGTAACACTAAAATAGTTAATAAAAATGACAAGATTATTCTTGCATACACTTTGCTGCCAAAGGCTCAGTCTGGGTTATCTCTAGTCTAAAATGGGTTCTAAAACTTCAATCAACCTGCACGGTATTAGAAAATAAGCTGCCCTCCAGATTGTAAGGAACACATTTAGATACCAAACAACATCGGGTTCAGCTCCTTATCGTAATACAAAACAAGTATTTCTTTCAGATTTTTCTTTTTGGGATGGTAATTATCATGGGGGTTTTTTTGGACCAGAGTCAAGCCTAAAGGAAAAAAAAAGGAAAGGAAAAAAAAAGCTTCTTCCTTTTCTTACCCCTGTTTGAGCATTTGCTGGGGTAAGCCAAAATCACTGAGGCTGTAAGAATTTCATCTACGGGGGAATTTTGCACCAGTGGGAATCTTCCCATGAGCCTTTCACAGGTAGGCAGGATTTTCAGCTCCTGTCTGTGCTGAAGCGATTCCATACTCTCCAATAACACCCATCGGTTCAGAAATAGGTCTACTCTTACATCAGAGATTCGGCTATTTCCCAACGCAAATGTTACCTGGCAGTTTTCAAATGTGGCTCCAAAAATGTACGTTGTTAAAGCACAAAAATATTTCAGCCACATTTCACCAAATGTACTTTACAAAAATAAATAAATACTTTGGCTGAAAACAAGCACATTTGTTGCTGGAATAACAAAGGGAAGGTACAAGATTCTAACCCCTGCTAAGTACAAAAGAGCATCTTGCCAGTAAGAATAAAGCAATACTAACGTTATGTTGCTAATATACTTATTGCACCTGTGCAATCCCCAAAATGAGCTTTTATTAATGGAAGGACTCCAGTCATGTTCTGTGGGACTGCCCTGGACCTTTAGTCCTGTAACGTGTGATGAGCAGAAGCAACAGCACCGTTTCAGCGACCATGTGGCACACGATGGTTTCAGTTCATTGAATTTATGATGTGAAATTCCAACCTCGATCATGAATACCCTCCCTCCTCTCCTCTGAAAATTAATCACATGAATTCCTGATTAATCATAAAAGGCCCTGCCATCAGCATGCAGAGCCCCAGCCGGGGCTGTCATGGCTCAGAGGGCAGAAATCTGCTTAGAGCTACAGGAGAACCCAACTGAATTTGTGGCGTCTCAGTCTATGAATGTGTAAGCACTTCATCTGTTCACCAAAACACAATGTGCTGGAAAGCAGCGGGCAAAAGTAGCTGCACGTACGCTACACCATGAGCAGGGCGAGGTGGCAGCGTGCGAGCATCGAAACCAAGGCAATCAAGTCGGCACCGCCCCCTCTCCTGAAGGATGAACGGGAAACTGTCCGCACTAGGTGTTTACCAAGAAGAGGAGAACCCATTCACAATTTTAGACTCTTCTCTTGATCTTGAGGTTTCTGGCAATGCCTGTATTATCTTCCTGTGGGGAAATGGTGTTTTGAGTCTGATGAGCAGAGAAAGACTGTTTTTGTGGAGCTGGGAAGCCTGTGACACTCATCGGTCCCCCAGCTGGGAATAACGGAAAGCTGATGCCATGGCAGAAATCATACTTCATTCCTGAACAGAGTTCATCAGTCAAAAAAGTAACTCCCCTCCCTTCCTACTTCTATTTGACCACATATACTGTACAAGCTGCAAATATTCTGCAAGTGGTTGCTGGCATTGCTGAAAATAACATAGAAAGTAACTTTCTGATATGCTACAGCATCACAGTTAGTACATCCACACTACTAGAAATCCAGCAGGAAGCTATTTTCAAATACATTACCCCTGCCTCAATGACCAAGTGTTTGTCCAGCTGTTGTAGTAACTTGTTATAGCAATCCTAACCAGGGAATTTTGAAAGGGAGTGGCATTGAATAAATACACAAAACGGTTAAAAGATCGGTGGTCTTTTTCTCCATACCTCCTCATCTGTGACATTCACATCCACCTTTTTAGATCGAATGGCTTTGGTTACATAGTCAATGTTGTTTTCTCTGCAGTAATCAAAAATGTTCTTGTCCTCCTCCCTAGGCAGGAAACAAAAGCAAAAGAAGCACCGTGTTACCACACAACACAAAGGCCACATGCACATCTTATGCTCTAACTTTGCTACAGACACTTCAACACTATCACTGGACTTTGACACCTAGTATTGCATATACAGAATAGTACTTTGTTTTTTCCCCAAGAGACAGAAGATCCTGCTTCCCAGCAAACAAAACATTATGGCAAGACAAAAATCAGCTTACTCCTGTGAACTGGAATGAGCAGTCTATAAAGTTAGCAAGCAAAAACCACATTTAAGTTCTGGTATAAATCCCACAGGAGATAAAAGGCTAAAGCTGCTCTTCTCCCTGCTATACAAACTTGCAACAGCCACTCGGAGTCAGAGCAAGGACAGTTGCGATACCATTCATCTCGGACAGTAGCCACTAATGGTGGCTTGGAGAAAAAAGCCCAAGAACCAGTGTGCAAACAACCTGTCCCAGGTTGTATCCTCTCGCCTTCGGAAACTCAGTGGCTTAAGGATTTCTGTAGCTAGAGGCTGCATCCAGATGAATATGTTTATCAACCTTTTCTGCACTTTATTCTGCTCTTTAACCCATTCACGCTCTCGACCTCGCTAAAGGATAAGCTCTACAACTTCATATTTTGTGTATGGGCAAGTACTTTTTTTTGTTTTTTGTGGCTTTAAAACAGGTGCTTGCTTCTATTGGGTACTCTTTGGCAAGAAACTGTCCAGGAATTTGTGAAATCTTCAGTGTTTGTCTTGGAATCTGACCACAGGGGTTGTTTTAATTCATCTGAGGGATTTTTAATTTATTTACCAGCCTGCAAGCAACCTGATTGCACTCCTTTTTACAGTGACATTGCTAAGACAAAGTTTGACCATGCCCTCTGCTCAGAGCAACAGGCTAGTGCACGCGGAGGGACCAGCACGTGCCTGTGCCAGGACACCAATACGTGCTCACACGCAGGAAGATCAAGCTGTGGTGTCAGAGGTGCTTGAGTTACACCTACAGCTTCTTCCAGAGCTAAAAACAATACCCTGGGCTTCAGACACAGTAAAACCTCTGTTCTTGCCAGACAAGCAGAACCTCCAATGAAGATGTTCCACAGATTCTTAAAATTCTACGAAGAGCTTTGTATGAGTGACTGGAGCCACTACTTAACCTAACGCAGCCAATTCTTCTATGGACAGGGGGTTGTGCCACAGGAGCAGGAGGCACTTTTGCAATAATACCTTTATACACTGATACAGTTGTGTTGCTAGTAATGAGTAAAGGAAAGACATCACTAGTTTTCAAGCCAAAAGCCCACGTACTACACTCTATTTCCAGTCTCCAGATGAAAACTGTGGCTCAAACGAAACCATCAGCATTGCTATGGGACTTGGCAGCTTCACAAGAACGAAACACAAAGTAGTCGCCGCTCATGACAGCCCATTTTCCATCACAGTCTGGATGTTCAGCAGAAGTCAGACCTGACAGCCTCAGAGGAAATCCCTCAGAAAAAACAGGAGGTTGCAGGAGACCAGACCCCATAGGGAGGCTGTTCTGCTGTGGGCTTTTGGGGCAGGAGAGAACAATGAAATGCAATGAAAAGCAATGAAATGGGGCGGTTTGAGAACTGACCTCTCCCTGAGCTAAAAGGCAACAGTACTTCTCCTATTCATCTGCACTGCGCTTGAACCTGAAGGCTGAAGGACATGAGAGCAAGGGAAAGTAAAATCTAAATGTTATTTGCATTTCTGAGCAATGGGTCACAAAGAAAAGAGTGATGCTCTTCCACTTGTAGGTCCAAAAAACCTGAAATACCCATGCCACCAAGATCATGACTCCTGCTCCCATCAGCACAGACAGACTCCATGACAATTTTGACTTTGTCTTTTATTGTTATACATCTAGCTTGTCCGGTTACACTCTAGTTCGTCAGACCTCAAGCATCTGTTTTCTGTGGGAAGAAGTGCTGACACCCAGCCCTAGCAGCAGAGAGCTGCTTTCTTCAGTCACTTCCTTTCACCCACCTCCCACGTTGCCCTTTCAGAAGCACCATTCTCCAGCACACCGCTCCTGTGCTTTGCACACAGTCCTTTTGAACAACCAAGCTGCACCTTTTTACTAAAGAGCTGAGTGCTGCCCAAGATTTCACACTCCCTCTTTAGGTCTAGGGACATGGCAGAAGTCTTCTGGATCCTTAACCAGTCTCTCATGAACTCATTTGCTGGTGGTCTTGTCCACTTACTACACACAAGCTGCTGAGAAACACATCACTGCACGCTTTAGATGCAATTACATTGAATTCTGGGGAAAAAAAAAGAATCTCATGGTGGGATTAGAAAAGGCAAAAGCTTATATTGCTCAAGATGGAGCTTGACAGACTCATGATGGAGGTCATGAAACACGCCTGCCCTTACTAACAAGAGCTGATTTGATACGCTGGGAAGTCCCTTCAGTCCTACCTTGTTAGTTCAACCTCTCAAACACACCACAGCCTCCACACAGGACTTGTACAGTCTTTCCCCCATGGATATTATTGCCTGTAAGGGGGAAAAGATCTGACGCAGCTATTCGGATATGATTTAGCTTTTCTGGAAATAACCACCTCTGCAAATGCTCCGTATATTCCTCTTCCAAAAAACCACTTTTCTTTCAGAAGTCCCCACAATGGAATTAATCCAGAAGAGCACTTTCCCCACCCGAATATAAGATTTTGGGAAGTTTCATCTTTCTACTCTGCATTTATTTTTCAACCTTAAAACCATTTCTCTGATCCTGATGCACCCTTTTAAAAAAAAATAAATTATATATTATCTCCAACTCTTCTATAAATATTAACACAGGGAAATAAGCCCTTTCCTGAAGAGATTCAAGTGAAGTCCACACAGTCCTAACAAAGACATTTTACCTGCACTCCAGACACTTAAAACAATTTGATCTAGTCATGTGCCAGAACCAGGAAGGAAAACTGAGAAGAGTTCAGAGGAGTTAAAACAGATTTTTGGTGGGACCAACACTAGGAAAAAAGCTCCACTTCAATGGGGTGAACGGAATAAAGACAAGTTATGGTTACTTGCTGGCTTTGCATTCAAAACCACACCGGACAATTAAGTAAAACCTTGCAACTTAGAGTCCATCTCTCCCACTTTATTTCACATGTGTATATGTGTACATAACGAACATTCCCTCCACTGTAGTAGCTACAAAAAAGCAAGAAGGGTGCAGTGTTTTTAGACTAGTTCCTAGCAGGAATTTGCACCCCACATAAAACTGGGAAGAGTCAGCAGCCAGGCCCAGAAACTGGTAGGAACAGCCTAAAAGCAGACAGAAACACATCAGAAATACAAAGGGACGCTGGAAAAACATTGCTCAGATGATATTTGGAGGGGGGGCAGGTGGGCTCAGGATCCAGAGCATTCCTATCATTATTTTCAGAAAAATCTCAATTTAAGTCAAATTACAGCATCCAGGACACCTTCAGATGGGAAACCCCATGAAAGTCAACCTGATGGAGGAGTGCGCAGTTATTTAAAACCTGTGGTTCAAAGGAAGACTTGGATGCAATTTTGCTTCCATGTCGGTTTGTGTGATATACAAGCACGGGCTATTTTTGTTGAGCTAAAAAGGAGTCTTCAAGTCAGACTATTCGACTGTCAGTAAAGGCAGCGAATGTGTTCACATTTATTTCCTGAGGACGGACAGAACATTTCTCCCTCGCTGATACGTGTTGAACCCCTAAAGCTACTTTCTTCTGCTCTCCCCCATCCCCAGTAAGAGACGCCAACTCTGATTTAACGTTGAGCTAAAGCACATCTGCTGGCTGCGGGTAACACCTGGACCGCTTTTTCCATCCTTGAATAAAAAGATGCTGAAGAACTTAATCCAAGCTGTCTCTCCTCAAGTTTGGAAGGCTTCAGAAATCTTACCTAGAGCGCTGCAAACCTCCTTGGTTTCTAAAAAGCCAGCAAAACTGCCAGGAGAAAGGGTGCAGAAAAAACTTGACATGCAGAAAGCATCCTCCACGTTTGCCCCGTCTCCTTCCTGCCCTCTCGCAGGTTACCTCCAGCACAAAGCTCTGGGCAGAGGGCTGTGGATCGCGTGCTACTTTGGTCGTCTTCTCCCCTTTTCCCGGAGCTGGTTCAAGCCACATCCCAGCGGACTTGAGGGAGCGCCGGGTGCCACTAACAGGTGGCCTCACCCGGCTGCTTGGCACTGGGCTGCTGAGCGAGACGCTCCCAGTGCTTTAGTGTTTATGTCAAGGCCCTTGGCGCCCCTCAAGGGACCCATTTTCACATAATCTATAATTATCTCTTCGCTTTAATCGCCTCGTCACTTCTGGGGCTCTCCTGGGCACAGGAAGAGGAAAAGCTCATTAACTGAACCTTTTCTCCTCTCTCCAGCCACCCATAGCTTTTAATTGCTTGGTGTTGTTATTATCTATCAGTGCAACTGGGATCATTTTCATAAGAAAGGGTGGTGGGAGGGAGAGAGGCAGGAGCAGGTCCCTGAGGTACGCACCACAGACAAACCTTTGCTTTCTCAATTATTTATGCCAGCTGAGGTTTTACAAGCTGAATAAATCCATAGCTCAAGTTTATTTTGAGCTGGCAGGCCGTCCCGAGGGAAGTGTTGCCCACTTGCCGGCACGCTCACGTGCCGTCCTCCGAGAGCAGCCAGGACATAGCGAGACATGTGTCATCCAATTCCCCACCCGTCACCGCGTCGCCACACGCACTTTGGTAGATTAGCGGCAGCACCAGAGGAAGAGACGGCCATGAAAACCCCAAACAGAGCTGCCACCAAAGGATGCGCTGTCCCAAAGGGAAGGCAAGGCCTGAGCCAAGCCTCCCCTTTGCACAATAAAAGCGAAGCCCCAAGGGTCACCACTCCGAGGACAATAAAAAGAAGGGGAAGCAATAAACTTGGCAACCATCAGGACTTGCCCACTAAGCATCACCAGAAGAGCATCCATTTCTAAATAACACTTGCCTGAAAGAACAAAAAAAAAAAGCCAAACCCCAGCTGTCTGGACCCGCAGGCGTTTTGGGACGTGCCGTGGCTGTGCTTGGGCACAACCAGGAAGGTTCTTCCGCGGGGATGGAGCAGCCCAGCACCTGCGTGAGCGACGGGCCCCTGCAGCACAGTCACCCAAACAGGCGAGCCCGTGATTCCCAACACGGCAAAGATGCCAGCTCGCACACTTCTGCAGCTTTGCTTCCAGCGCTACAATTCCTGAAAGCGGGACTGAAAGGAAGAGAACGAAACCCCGACCGCGCTCCAGAGCACAAGGCTCATCTCCAAAGCCGTTGCCCCTCCGAAGCGGCATCCTTGCAAGGGATGCTGGAAGCAGCTCTTTAAAATTCAGCAGCCTTTGTGCCTGACCACACGCAGCGACCTCTGGTATTTTCTGCCAAAACAGTTCATTTGTCTCGCACAACAACTAATCAATTCCCGAGGCCATCCATCACCGGGGCTCGCGCGAGCCAGCCCGGCAGCGGGGCCAGATGGCGGCTGCGTTAGTGGGATTAATACAATTCTGATAGATTACACGGCATCAGGCAGGCTCCCAAATACGAGGGGTGTCTGCTCCGCGCCCCAGTCCTAAAAGGAGACTCACTCATAACCAGGGTCACTCTGAAGCGTTACGGGAAGGGGGAAGTTACTACTAGAAAAGGGCTTTCTTGGCATCCCTCGGGATGGCAGAAGGGTAAAGCACAGCTCAGGGGACGGCAAGTGTCATTCCTGCCCCAGCACACTGAGGCCACACAGAAGCTGCCCCCGGCAGAACGCAGGAGGGCTCCTCCAGTGGAAATGGAAAGGGAAATGGATATTTGGCAACATTATTTCACATTCTCCATCTGCCAAGTCAATGCTTTCGTTTGCTGGAAACGCTTATGAACTGTCTCAACCTCGCTCCTGCTTTAAAAAAAAACAAAATTGCAAAATAACTTCCAAGTTGAATTTCCAATGCTACGGTATTTTTGGCATCTCCCTCAGTTTGTGTCTTACATTAGATTTATATTGGTGACACATCAGTCAACCTCATCTCACTGCTCATTTCCCAGGTTTGTGAAACTGTAATTATAGCTATTTGATCATGACAGAGCTCAACTACTACCGCTTTTGTTCTGGTAATAAGATCAGAAAAGAGGCAGAAGCTTTATGTAGCACTAAAAAAAACCCCACCATATAACAGAAAAACAAACTCTACCACTACACCCTGCCTGAAATCACAGATAATTTCTAACTCCTCCCTTCCTTCCAGGGGAACCTCCAAGTCCCATCATCAGTCACCGGCATGCATTACTTTTATGTAGTGCCCAAAGTGAGATAAGTGATTTGCAGAGAAAAGCAGAGGCAGAGCACTGTGCTAATACATTCTGCAACTGCTCCCCATTAGTCACTGGGGGTACTTGAGCTCTTTATTGCCAGGGTTTATTAATGACTCTTAATTGATGACCAGTGCCCAGCACCCCAAAGTAAATAACTGCTGTGCCTCATTAGCTCAAGGGACCTTCCCCTGATTTGAAGATTGATCTATGAACAGACAAATTGCACTGATTTAACCAAATCTCTTTCTAAATTGATTTAATTAGATCACCATAACCTGTTTTTATGGATGCTCTTGAATTTATTTGGAATCAGTGCAATGTACTTTTGGGAGCCAGACCGACCATTTCTCTATCTTGTTCTCAAAGCAGAAATATCTGAGCTTAGCGATAAGGCAAAGTCAGTCCCCAGCACCACCCCAGTTCCTCCTACTTCTGATCCCCCTGACTTTAGGGTAGGGTATGGTAACTCCATTTCACCCAACATTTACAGATTCGCATCCTAAAACCAGAGCATTTCATTCCACAAAAGGAATGTAAGCTTTATCTATTCATAATTTTAAACAGTTTGAAAGCAATGGCACTGCTGCTTTGCTTGGTAATTTACTGCTGACGGTTTACACTATCTGAAACAAGATTTCTCATCGTCCTGTAACACAGCAACAGCTTGAAGGAGGTTAATCATTTGACGAAATTTTTAAAAGCTTCTGGTAAGAATAAAATAAGTGAACCTACAAGACTCTGCACTTGCATTTTTGTCTACCTTCTGGGTCATGATGAGGGTGTGACGATACTGGGCTCCAGATAAATGAGCCAGCTCGTTCTGCCTTCACATCAGCGGAGTCCTAAAGGACCTACGGTAGGCTGTGTTTGGCAGAGTAATGTCTGCTGGGAAACTGCTTTCAGCAGTCTGTCAAAACCCAGGGCTGATGAGGACTCAAGCTTTTTGTTTTAGTATCCAAAATAAGAGAATTTTTTTTTTTTTGCTCATTCCAGGCTTCCTTAACATGATACCATAACGAGAAAACATTTATTCTAACAACAGCCCTGGCAAACAGAGTAGTTTGAAACTGAATCAGAGATGGTTAGCTCAGTCGGTCAGAGTGTGATGCTGATAACACCAAGGTCACGGGTTCGATCCCCGCTCGGTCCCATGTGTTGCCTGATCTAGTTGAGAGGCGTCCCTGCCCATCACAGGGAGGTTGGGTTAACTGATCTCTGAGGTCCCTTCCAGCCTAGGCCAGTCTAGGATTCTATGATTCTACATTCCAGTTTTTGCAAGCTTGTTATAAAGCTTCAGAAGGCCCAGCATAGGCAACCACATCAATAAAACAGTCTGCATCAAAGTTACTCTCCTCAGATCTTAGGTTTTGAGGAAACATCCATACACACACTGAACTTAAAGCACGGACTTACCAGCAACTATTACCGTGTTTAAGTTTATGCTGTCTCAAGCTATGAATTTTTCCTTCCTCTGTTTAGTTTTTTTTTTCCTTTACAGAAAATACCTTTTTAAGACTATGTTCTATTTACAAACGCACTGAAGTATTACTTGAACCTTACGTTCTTACAAGCAACCAACCCCAGAAAAGTCACCCCTCTCAGGCGAGTGGTATTACCACTCCATGCTCTAGACAAACCTGGATGCCAACCAGCGCCGGGCAGCACTGTTCCACTCCTGAAAAAAGAGCTCAAACGGGTTTCAAACCACAAACTATGAGAACAGTGATGTTGGCTGAGAGCTACGTTGACAAGGCAGGGAAGAAAAAGGAGCTTGTGGCCAGTGCCGTGCTGTTCCCTAACGGTGCGTTAAACCAAGGTCGTGCCTCATCACCTCTGGTCAAGGTCCAGGGGCCAGTTAAGGATGTGTTGGCTCCCCACGCAAGGGAAAGGCGGCTACTCCTGGTCAGCTGTTGCACCTCACTATAAAGCCAATTGCAACACTGAGGAAAGTGCCCGCCCTACTGCCGGGTACAAAACTGGCACCTTATTTGCTGACAAAGAACAGCCATAACAATTTCCACCCGAGCTCCTTGCAAAGGGTTCAAAGCCACCTTCCTAAGATTTATTTTTCATTAGTTTGTGACAACAAGTCAAAGAAATGCTGTGTTAGAGTTCTAACACTTCAGGGAAGTTCTCAGCAAGCTTGGGAGGCTGTGTGTAGAGAAATCAGTGTTTATCTTTTAATTTCCTGAGACTAAAACGATGCAAGACAGCCAGTAAAACAAATGGGATCACATGCATGTAAATGGGTGACTGCAACATGACAGCAAACACTACTCAAAATTTTAAGTCTTCCCTTACTGTTCATCTTAAGCGAAAATACGATGCCGTATTCTGAAAGATCCTCCAGGCAATCATTTAGGTATTGGAGTTAATATTACATCCATGATTAGTAATCTGGAACAGTAAAAACCAACCAAACAAGAAAACCCAGCTGTCCTTACTCAGTAGCTGATGACACTTACTACTCGCACCTTGACGGTTTTTAAATAGCAGCCATTCTAGTTCAGTAAATGCATTTCTGCTATGCTAGCTGCAGAAGCTAGAAAAAATTAATTTGATATACAGTACAAACTCTCCCTGAAGGTCAACATTGTCCAACGTTAAAAACTTCACAGAACAATCCTTAATGAATGTATTTGTAAAGAAATAACTATTTGAAAAAAGTAGTGTCTGAATAGCTTTCTATTAAAAGTATCCAGTATTACCTTTTTTTTTTTAGTCATATAACTGAAAAATGGGATACCTTGCCCTTCCCCCACATCTGGTGCTAGGGAAAGGTTACTACCTGGCAACGATACAGGCAGTTATTGATTTAAATGATTATGGACCTGAAAAGATCTTTCCTGTCATTTATTATCCTGTTGTAGTTGCCACTAGGCTTGTGCAATATTTTAAAAAAAAAAAAAAAAGCTTAACAAAATGACATTAGAAAAATACTGGTTTTAGCTGAAGTCCAGCACATAGAATCACCTGATTGTTTCTTCTTGGTATAATGAGCTGACGACTGGGCCTCCAAATGCAGTTTTGCTTTCCTTTCCCTTCTTCTCTACCATCTGAAAGAAAAAGAAAGATTGGTCCAGCATCCTGGCTCCCATTCTGCTCCAGCCTGTGCCACCCCTCTGCCACCTCCCACCCCTTTCCCTGCCCCAGAGATGGGATCAGCCCCTCTGGAAGCTTCATCTTCATGGCAGACAGGATGGCCAGAACCCTACTCCATCCCCAACGGTTGGATGGATCCCTCGACAAACCAGATCGATGCTCCTCTGCAGGTGGTCAAGGAAGGTGACCCAAAAAGCAGGCTCGGTGGCCCTGCCATCTCACTCGCAACAAGCCACAGCGTCGCCTCCACAGCACTCCCAGACACAGCCCCTTAGGGCCCAAAAAAGCTGAGCCTCTGTGAGGTAGCATAATGTCAACGTTACTTGATTGCAAAGCTTGCCTTTATAAATCTATTTAATATAGATTTAAAATTAAATTTTATAATGGGCAGCATTTCCAAATGATTTACTCCCAGGAACTCTAGGATTCTGAATGATTCCTACCATAATAGAAATGAACAATTAGAATAATGATTGATCGATAATGGAGCCTCAGGCATACCTCCTGCAAAAAAACATCCTGCAGCTTGGGGTCTTCAACTTGCTGACTTTATATTGATGCCAGACTTTCAGAAAGGGCTAAGGACCTGCTGTTTGAAAGCCTGATCCTATTTTAAGGGGTGTAGGGCACCCGAAATCCTAATGTTTTTAGGGTACCTATTATTTCAGTCCTTGGGTAAACAGTTAAAGCCGGTTTGCAATCGGCAGCAGTAACTCCTTATAAAACCAGCCCATTCATTGCAAAGTCCTGTTGTCAGCGGACAGTTCTGGGGCTTTCTGTGACAAGAGATTGTCACACCTGGGCTGAATGAAATCAGAAGCAAAGAGGAAGCTGTCCCAACCTCTAGCAGTCTCTCAGTAGCTGCGATACATTGCTGGTTACACCAAAAAGCATTGCTGCCTCATCAGAATCTCACCTAGAAAGATGTTGATTTTATTTTTTAATAAAACATGCTTACATCTGGTTTTCTTCCTAGTCTCTAGGTTGCTTTAGTTTTAAAACAATTTACTGTTTCCTTATAATACATTTACTTTTACATTCCACCCAGCTTGACTCAACCACTTCCACCTTTCAGCTCTTCTTGTACCAATCCAAATAATATTTGGAATTGCAGATATCAGACACGCTTCTTTGTAAGAAAAAGCAGGAAGGAAATCAGCTTTGAAAACTATTCAATGGCATACACGCTTTCTCTAATTTAGAGTAAAAAATGACAAAAAGCTTTTCTTTCCTGAAGGAAAAGGGCTGATGTCTTCACAGTGCAATGCCTCTCTTAAAAATTATTTAAGAGAGAACCTTCCCATCCATCAATTATTTCCACACCACTTAAAGAAAATTAATTTCCAATCATCTGCTAGTACATGCAAGAGTTATTTCTGTGAAATGAATCTATAGTCACAACTAGTCTATGTTCTTTGGGTCCAGGGCTGTTCAACGTCTTTGTCAGCGACATGGACGACGGCATCGAGTGCACCCTCAGCAAGTTTGCCAACGACACCGAGCTGTGTGGTGCCGGGGACTCACTTGAGGGCAGGGATGTCATCCAGAGGGACCTTGACAGGCTGGAGAAACGGGCCAGTGCAAACTGCAGGAGCTTCAACAAGTCAAAATGCAAGGTCCTGCACCTGGGCCGGGCTAATCCCAGGCACAAATACAA